AGGAAGGAAGGAAGGAAGGAAGGAAGGAAGGAAGGAAGGAAGGAAGGAAGGAAGGAAGGAAATCATTCCGACGGAACGAAAGGCGGTAGCCTTGCAGTCAAGCTTCAGGTCACAACCAGCATGATTTTGCCTACCCCTCCCCCGCCTCACGCACACCGTTCAACCTGTTGCGGTTCCTGTACCTGTACGCTGAACCAGGTACAAAGACCGGCAGAGGAGCCCAAGCTGCGGGCAGACGTGGCTAACCTTAAGGCCTTCGCCGGGAGGTTTAGAGAAGTTCTTCCGGCGGATTACTACCCGGTGAGCTTTGAACAGTATAACATTCAGTAGCACTATAGCGCCGTTTCACCTGCCGTTTCACATACCGTTTCACATGCACGTTCGCTCGTCCCCCAAGTTTATCAGTATCTGCACTGTTGTTTCTTCTTCGGAGACTTGATGCGGTGAAGGCCGCCCCCCCTCCGCAGTTGCTTCTGCTTCAAGCCATTCCTTTTGTTCTCTCTACCCAGTGTGTAGCGTGTCTCCTTTGGCCACTTTGGTCTGGTGGACCCAGAATGTCTGATCTGGCCCAGAAGGCTTTGTTCTTTTGAGGATGCTGGCATGATACTACGTTTGCAAGGCTCCGGAACTCGCATCTGTTCTGCCACGATTGATACAACGGTCGAGTGACAGTTCGTGCCAATGCCCACACCTGGCGCCATGATCGATTATGGTTCCAAGCGCCGCAGGGCGAAGTAGCGTGCTGGTGTACAGTAACACGCTACTTAGAAACACGGGACTTGGAAGGGCTCCGAAGTAGTTCCAGAGGCTTGTGTGCGCTCGTGTGAGTCCTCCGTACATGGGAAATCAAATTTCGTCCAGCCAACATTCTATGACACACGCGGCTATCGCGAAACCGTGCACGCCCCGGCGAGTGCACGCCTTGTGCATGTCATGAATGTGATACACAAAAGGTCTTTTGTGAGTTGGAGAGGGTGCTGGGTAGCGAGCTAGACCACTATTCCAACCCTATCCCTACCCCTCCTGCATCTCATGAATATAGGAGTTTTGCGAACTGAAGAGAGTGCTGGATAGCGAGCTAGACAACTGTCCCGAACCGTAAGCCTGTCCCTAATCTTTCCGCTTCTCATGAACGTAGGTGTTTTGCGAGCTGGAGAGGGTGCTGGATAGCGAGCTAGACTTTCGAGCTGAGGCTCAGGCGATGGAGAAGATCGCGGCGGGGGTGGCCCACTCGGTGGATGGGAGCAGAGCCCGCCCTCCGATAGTGGTGCCTAGACCGGTGCCGGGGCTTTGCAGTGGGAGGGTCTTGGTCATGGAGTACGTGCAGGTGGGTCCGTTGTTGTTGTTGTTGCTGCTGCTGCTGCTGCTTTTGCTGTTGTTGGCGTGGTGCGTCTTTGCTGCTGCTGCCGCCGCCACCGCGCTACTGTCGTTGTTGTTGATGTTGTTGTTGTTGCTACTCCTATGATACTGTTGTTATAGATCCGTTCTGGCCTCTGCCGAGTGAAACCTCCATGTCCGATGCGATGTGCCTACAGTATCTAATCGGCAAGCAATCAGTGTTTCCACGCACGTGCGCGGGTGTGCTGAGTCCTGGTTGCATCCAAAACACACCGTTTGTTGTTCTGGTTTAGTGTAGTCATGTCAAGGCTTGGGTGTCTCCCATCCGGTGGTCAGGCTCGCACCTGGTGTCGGCATGGGAGAGTGGATTTTTTTGTTTTGGCATGAGGGGGGTGAGATTTTTTCTCTCTCTTCATCTTGTGCCTCTGTCTCTCTGCATGCTTGCTTCACATCTGGTCGTGACCTTACGTTATTGGTGTCTTTGTTTTCCTTTTTTTCTCTATGCGTGTGCGTGTTCGCCGACACTTTTGGAAGGGGATGGCTCTCAACAGGCTAGCCGAACGGCTGACCGAGTTGGGGCTGGTGGAGACTTCTCCGGAGGCTAGGGTGAGTGAGGGAGGGAGGGAGGGAGGGCTATGGTGTACTGTCGTCGATGTCGATGTCGTTGTTGTCGTTGTCTTGTTGACGTTGTCGATGACGTTGATGCGGCGTGCTGAAAATTATGTTTCATATCTTGAATTTTGCTTGTTTTGGAAAATACCTCCATACGTCGAAAGCTGGACGATATGTGTCATGATTTCGGATATGCTTGTTTCTTTTTCGCCGTTTCATTTTCGTTTTTCTCTCTACTTTTTCCTGGTGAAGGTTTTCGGAAAACGACTCCTGACGTCACTGACCGAGGCCTTCGGGCGGATGATATTCGGGGCGGGTTTCGTTCATGGCGATCCCCATCCAGGTCTGTCTGTCCGTCCTTCTTCTGTGCAGAGTCGTGGTTCATCTTACATGATGATGTCATGATGATGTCGTCAGGGTTGTCGTCGTAGTCCCTGTCGCGGCGTTGGCTTCAAGGGTTGATGTTCACCATGACGTGTTGCGGTCTGCAGGTCATGCTAGCATACCTGTCTCGTCTTGCTCTCCGTCTAAGTAGGTTGCCACGGAATGCGTATGGCTTCGTTTTTCTTTGTTTTTTCTTATCAGTTTGACGTTGGTTCACTGGTTTGTAGCCCCACTGTAACTGATCTATGTGGCACAGTGGAGGTCCCTGTTTAGTGCCTGTTGAATAGTGCCGGTTGCCGGTATAGTGCCGGTCAAATCTCGGCGCACAGAACCCGCCCTGAATAGTACCAGACCGACACTATTCAGGGTTGCCCACTTTAGTGCCGGTTCGGGCCCCACTGAACCCCACAATAGTTCCGGTTCAAGCACGCACGCACACACAACACACAAGACAGACACAGAGGAGAGGGTACACGTGCTGCTGCAGACCCGAACAGCTCTACGCAGAGGGCGGGGGTTACAGCTACAGCGGCTGTTTGATTTCTTGCATGTCCCGTTCTTGCGGTCGTATTTTTTTTTCTTGTTCTGGCTACATCGAAGGAGAGTGAGGAGGAGACAGATTTAGCTTCGTCCTTTTCCAATAGGTTGTGCCAGCAGGAGTTTCGCAAAAGTGTTTCCGCCAAAAATACATGGTCTTCATGATCAGTGGTTTGCTTTCGCTGTCGAGGAGTGATGTTGAGGTTGCGCGAAATGGTGTGATCCGTTTAAGGCTNACAGCTACAGCGGCTGTTTGATTTCTTGCATGTCCCGTTCTTGCGGTCGTATTTTTTTTTCTTGTTCTGGCTACATCGAAGGAGAGTGAGGAGGAGACAGATTTAGCTTCGTCCTTTTCCAATAGGTTGTGCCAGCAGGAGTTTCGCAAAAGTGTTTCCGCCAAAAATACATGGTCTTCATGATCAGTGGTTTGCTTTCGCTGTCGAGGAGTGATGTTGAGGTTGCGCGAAATGGTGTGATCCGTTTAAGGCTAGTGCCACGGCATTCTTGCCAACAAAATATTGGACATCTATGAGGTGCATCATCCTTTGCGATATTCATGTGAAGGATTTGAGTCAGGTTGTGCAAGTGTGCAGGACGTGCGCTGAGGTGCAGCATGTGTGTCGCGTCCAGTTAACTTATTAGGCAACATATGTGTGTTCGACAGGGCAGGAACCACCCCTATCGACGCAAAGCAGTCTGCCCGCGACGCCCATGCCATGATCTCACCATGTGCGTTTCATGTGGTACTCTGTTGGCCCGGCAAAGCAAAGCGCTGCATTCTGAAACCACTCAGTTCGTTAATAGAGCCGGTCTGGCACTATTGAGGGATTTTCAGACCCTGAACAGTGCCCCTTTGGCACTATTCAGGCACTCTGAAGAATAGTGCCGGTGCCCGTTGTATAGTTCAGGTGAATTTTTTGCGCACACCCCGGCACTAAACAGGGACCCAGTAATATGTCTCCTCTGCGAGATGAAGACTAAACAGGACGACGGGTGCCGTGCTGTGTGTTTTTTTTCTTTCTGTTTTTCGTGTTGGTGTTTTGGACTCATGTCGTCCCGTGTGTTTTCGTTCATGCATATCCTTAATTTTCATGGTATTTTCCCCTTTTACGACCGTTTGTTTTCTCTTGTTTCAAAAATTTCGTCGTCAATTCCAAGCGGCTGTTGTGTCGTTGCATGTGACGTTTTTTCTGCCTTTGCTGTCGCGATTTTATTGCTCGGTTTCCCCCTCAAACGCACCGGGGTCAGGCAATATTTTCATCATGGACGGTGGTCAGGTGGCGCTCATCGACTGCGGCCAGGTGATAATTATTAATCCGTCCCTATTGCCTTAGTCTTACCGACTGGACCCCCCACCCTATGCTTTCCTAGCTATCCTAGCTTCGCCACTTGTCCGTTGACCTACGTCTTGCGGACTGTACCTTCCCCCTCACCTAGCTTTTCCCACTTGTCCATTGCATTCGTGGCGCTGTATATCCCACGGGTCAGGTCTTGAGGATGCAGTGCATAGACGTCGCGTGTGACACGATTCATATGCCTAGCTATCTTTTCGTTTTTTGATGATGGGTCGTGTGCACCGCGCGTTTTCACAAGGACTTCATGATTTTTCAAAACATATTTTGTTCTATTTTCACTGTCTATCATCGTGGATCTGTCCCCGACTTGGATGCTTCGGGCGCGCTCTTGCCACGTGATCCACGCCCCCGGCACAGTACGCACAGTCGGTTCCCATGGCGCTGATCCTTCGAGCACCTTTCCCGAAGCTTGATCTGACAACCGTTGCTCGATCTGGCTCGATCCGCACAGGATCCGCACAGGTTTCTGATAGATGGGGCTCAATTACCACGAAGGTGTCCCTAATCATTGTTCCGAATGTTTGCCCTGAACGTCTGTGTTGAACAGGTCAAGCAAATCTCCATCACCCAAAAGCTGAGACTGGCCAACCTCATCTGCAAGCTGGAGCAGTGGAACAAGCCCAACGGGCCTACCTGCGCCGAAATCGCCAAAGATGTGAGACTCGCGAAAAGCGATCCGGCCGTTGGTGTTCCTATGTAAGCCCCCCTGTTACTCTCATCCTCGCCGATGCTGCCAATTTTGCGAATTAAGCATTGAAACAAACGCTAGTCCTTTGAACCTAACCCGACCCCTGGCTTTCCCGGGAATGATTATGGCTTAAGACCGCCCACCATTGCGTTGTTTTTCATGCGGATTTCAAGTCCTAGGGTCGAGCGATTTGTCTGTCCCGTTGCCAAGACTGCCAAGTACGTCAAGCTGAAGGCGAAGGCAGCGCATTTGAACATACGTGGGTTCGAAGCGATTTGCATTGAACCATTGAATCTTGCTGTGTCTCTTCATGCCCCTGGTTGCGAACGTCCGACCGCATGCGCCTTTATCTCGCACCATGGCATCAACATTACATGCACCTCTTCTTCGTGTGACCATCAATACAGACAATAGCATATCGCAACATACAGAGAATGATCCGACCAGTGGGAATGGCCTGAGGAAGGTGATGGCTTTCTGCTGTTCCCGCTAAGGGGGATCTGACAAAGATCCAGCGAATGGGATGGCTTTCCGCTGCTTAGAATGACAAGAGAAAGACCCAGCCACTAGGATGGCTTTCCGCTGTTCCCGCGAAGAATTACCAGAGAAAGACCCAGCCAACGGGGTGGCTTTCCGCTGTTCCCGCTAAGAATGACCAGAGAAAGACTCAACCAATGGAATGGCTTTCCGCTGTTCCAGGTAAAGGATTTCGGGGTGGAGGTTGCTGAGGGTGCGGGAGACGAGGCCCTAACCGCTACAGCGATCCTTCTCTTCGGACCGGGAGGAATGGAACTCCCTGGTGGCTACGACACCAACGAGATGAGCAGGTGGGGCAAGGGCACAAATAGGGGAGGGGCTGTGGTGCTTTACAGGGGGATGGAAGGATTGATAGGGTGTACAGATGGTAATGAAGACGGCGTTGAGCATCAAGTGAATGTAGGAGGGGGCAGGTTACAACACCAACGAGATTAGCATGTGGAACAAGGGCACAAGTCGGGGGGCTGGCTGTGATGCCATACAGCGGAAGGCAAGAGTTGGCGGGGGGGGGATGGGGTGCACAGGGGGTAGTAAGAAGGCGTTGGATGAAGTGAAGATGTCCAATCGGGGGGTACACCGACGGAGGGCGGTTATAACACCAAGCAGATGATGAGCAGGTCGGGCAAAAGTACAAATCGTGGTCACACAATGTTTGTGATGTGTTCCTGATGACGGCATACATGCATCGTCTCAACCTTTTTGTTTCCGCATGTATTACTATAGTACATATATTCAGCTGCGACCAGTCAGCCAGAGTTCGTAGCCGAAGACCTTCTAACCCTATTGGTGCTGCCAGACACCCCCTTCCTTATCGGGCATGGTACCTACCTGCCGGTGCGACTGTTTTTCGAAGTGACGCAAGGAAAGCCGGCTTAGTTCCCTTTCCTTTGGCGTCTACCAGTAGTTGTTTCAGCTGACCTGTGCTGTGCTGTTGCAGTGTTGATGGTGTTTGTCTTTCTCTCCTTTCCCAAACAACATTTTCTCTGGCCTTTTTCTGTGTGTGCTGACTTCTTGCCCGGGTGTGTCTGCTTCTGTCCTGCTGTTTGTAACGGTGACTCCTGATTTTTCCAACGAAAAGGGTCGAACCGAACAATTAACTGGCAGTACTGTACATACCCTGCTTTGTCTTCTGCCTTCTCTCTCAATACTGCTCTTCTGTACACGGCGCCTTTTTTTCCCATTCTGTCGGCCTTGCGTGTTGCGTTACGGCAGCACCTCTCCTTTGAAACAGCTCAAGGCGTTCCCGCAAGAGCTAGTGCTCATGGGACGTGCCACGGTAATGATCAAGGGGATCGCCGCGGCGCTTGGGCTCAAGTGGAATCTCGCGGCGAGGGTGAGAGGCATGGGAGATGACGGATGACGGATGACACATGACGGATGACAGATGACACATAACAGATGACACATAACAGATGACACATAACAGATGACACATAACAGATGACACATGACACATGACACATGACGGATGACACATGACGGATGACTGATGACACATGGCACCACAACCGTCCCGAGGAACCATGGCGATCAAGTGCAAAGGTGCAGCACGAATTTTTGTAGCAAACCTTGCTGGTGATGGAAATGCAAGGGTGTATTGTACCCCGTTGGTCGAGAGACAGGAAGGGGAAATGTGTACCAGGTACTGTACCGTTTTTGTGAGCCGTGCCACGTTTTACATGAACCGTACCGTTTAATTGAACCGTATCTGAATCCTGGCCCTGCCAGTAGTCAGGCACGCTAGGTGCAGTGTTGCGGCTTGAAGCCAACAGAGAACTAGGGGAGAAACAACAACGGCCAGAGACACTTGCGTGCTTGCATGAAAATACGAACCCCGCCCGCCCAAACACAATACGGGCTGGATTGATGGAGGATTTTTGCTGAATTGGTCGAGGATAGTCGGTCTCGTGCTCTCGTGTACAGGAGGTGTCTTCCGACCCTCTCGTGATTGGCAAGAGTGAGGAAGACCTACAATAGTTGTAATGATCCTTGTTTGACGCAAAATCGACTGCTTATAAGTACTTGACAAGGGGTTTGGGAAAGTGAGTATGGGCGGGGGGGGCGTTGGTGTTTTCGTTCCTGGCCCCTACAATTCTCACTGTTCTGCAACGGGGCGATCAGGTCAGCTGGACAGAGCGGTCATCTTAATGGCTTGTGCTCACTTCGCGATCAAAATTGCCCCCATTAATCGTCAATGGCACCCGACGGCCCGTGACGCTATGGGGAGGTTCTTTTCGTATTGCAGCGAAGGAGGTTCTGCGACCGAATACTGTACCCGATATTCATACTCAAGATATCACCTTGCCCCACCGCCCCCCCCTTCCGCTGCGGCCCTTGTGCGCTCGTTCGCGTGAAATCTCCTCTTGGGGGTGCAACACGCTACAATGCAAACGACACACGGCCAACGACAGTGGGAACCGGCCGCTAGGCAGGCAATAGAGTGTGGGGACGAGGGGTGTGCCGTACCCGTGTACGCCATGACGCCCCCCCCGGTGGGGGGGTCGAAAGGGATAGTGAGACCCAGCTTCAAGGAGGTTCGGGGGTCTATTTGGAGAGCGCAGAACACGGCGAAGAGCTGGTTGATAGCCAAGTCGGGAGAGGCCGTGCCTCCAAAGGTGTGTGTGTTTTTATTATTAGCATGGACCGCGCTAACCGGCTGACCAATGAAAAGACGTCAGTCTCAGTGCGGCGGGAAACACAAAATGTTTCTATTGTCCACTATCTGGGACCCCGGGACCGAGCGTCGTAGGGGGAGCTACGCTATTCTCAGGATTAACCCTAACCCTAAGACAGATACCGTAGTAATAACAGAAGAAAACTGCACGTGTCTACTAAGACTGTCACCCTGCACTCGACTTCGTTTAGGAGTGCTCTCTCTATCATTCTTCTTGCTTTCACCACTACTACCATCACTATTCTCATCGTCATTTTGGCAGCAACTTTTTGGCAGCTCTTCTTCTTGTCTGTCTCTCCGTCTTTTGTTGTGCGGGAGGTCCTCTGGCTCGAAGCTCTTGCTCTCTTCCACGCCATGATTCCCTTCTCGACTGCTGTCTTGGTCTCTGTCTTGTCCTCCTCTTGTTCCCTCTGTTCCTCCTCCTTCATCGTTGCCACTCGAATTTCCCTCATCGCCATCATGATGATCGTTTTCGTTTGTACTACTATCGAAATCCCAACCTATTG